TGATTTTTGACTTTAGTAGAATTGAATTTAATTATAACCATAGTATTTATAGTTTTTGTTTATTTTATTTTTTTAAAATAGAGTCTTACGTTATTCAAGCTGGCTTTGAATGTGTACCAGCACATCCAGTTTAAATGGTTCTAAGGATTGAATCTTGTGCTAGCAAGCACTCTATGAACTAAGCAACCCCAAGTACTTGTAGGTTTAATAGCTATACTCTGAGTTGGTCTTGAAGCTGAGTGTTTTATGTCTTCAGCTTGTATGTGATGCTGCTCTGTGTCCTGACATTGTGGCTAGGTTCCTCCACATACAGTTGAGATCTGTATGAGTTCAAGCAAAAGTCTTGAGGGAATTCCATGAAAATCCAGAGGAAGGCAGCACCATTCCTTCAGATCTGTGGGACCTGAAAATGGACATAGAAAGTGAGCCTAATGTGAGGACAGTGTTTCAGACCTCTGTGCTCTGGCATTGGGTCTCTTTGCCATCAGTGTTTGCTGCTTTTGCTTTTTGTTTGGATGAACTTGGTTAGTATGATCACAGAGGAAGATTCTGGAAGCCTACGTAGGTGTGTATAGGTGTATGGATTTGGCGTACTACTCTTGTAGCTTCTCTGTCTGCTGCTAAGCAAAACTTTGAAATGTGTACCAATTCATTTTTCTTCTTCTCTCAATGGCCCAGCACAGCTGTATATCCTGTGGATGCTTTAAAAAAAAAATAGAACACAAAACACTCATCTTTAAAAGCATTTCAGTTGAACAGTAGCTAACAGGCAGACAAAGCAAATTGTGTTTAATTGACTCACAAATGAGATGAGTTGTCAGGGAGGAACAATTTTAAACAGTTAGCATGTGATTCCTTCCCCCCTTGAACTTGTGTGATCTTACCGTAATAAATTGCTTGTGGAAATGTGACTTTTAGTCAGAAAGATTAATCTTATGCCTATTGAACTATTTTGTTCTCAGGTTCTGTTTCAATTTTAGATGTGGGTCATTGCTGGTGTAACTTAAATTAAGAATGCTCTGGTTTTAAAATGAGCTATTAATTAATTGAAAGGCAAAGTTGATTTTAATAAGCTTAAAGCTGTTTATGGTTACCATATATAGTCATTCTGTTTGGCTTGGCAGTTAACACAGACAAATAAATATAAATGACTCTTTTACTGACATCTATATTCAGGGAGGATCTCATGTGGCTCAGGTTGGGTTTCAACTCTTGATTCTTCTGCCTCAGCCTGCATGCTGGGATTGCAGGCCTGAGCCAGCACACTGTCCCCAGTACCTTTATTTTGCCCCTCTGCCTACCTAATGCTGGGATTGCAGGCCTGAGCCACCACTCTGTCCCCAGTACCTTTATTTTGTCTTGTAATATTTAACTTTGTAAAAATACTTCTGGTAAAGCAAAGTTCTAAAATAACTATAAGAACAATGATTCCACATTTAGGAAGAATTTGTTCATTTTTTTTCCTTTTAGTTAGGGTCTCACACTTTGGCCTGACTTGGTGTGAGGGTGTTTGAACTTCTTACTATTCTGCCTCCACCTCTTGACTGCTGGGATTCAAGAATCATGTGCCACTATACCTAGGTTTATGAGGTGTTGGGAATCAAACTTCATGTATGGTAAGCAAGCACTCTATCAACTGTTTACATCCCCAGACCATCCTCTTTAAAAACAACACTATTTACATATTCATTGATTGCCTCAATTAAGAAAAAGATCACATGTATAATAGGCTGGTTTTGAGTTCACTATATAGTTGGGGACGGACGTTTCCTGTCCCAAGAGCCTGTTCCCAGATATCCAACAGCCGCTTCCCAAATTACCACACAGAGGCTTATATTAATTATAAATGCTCAGCCGATATCTCAGGCTTATTACTGACTAGCTCTTATACTTAAATTAACCCATAATTCTCATCTATGTTTAGCCATGTGGCTTGGTACCTTTTCTCAGTATGGTGCTCTTATCTCCTTTCTCTACGTTTGCTGGTGACTTTCTGACTCTGCCCTCCTCTTTCTCATCATTCTCAGTTTGGCTTTTCCACCTAACTTCCTGCCTAGCTACTGGCCTATCAGCTTTTTTTTTCCCTTTTATTTTATTTTACAATACCATTCAGTTCTACATATCAGCCACGGGTTCCCCTGTTCTCCCCCCTCCCCCCCCCTTCCCTTATCCCCAGCCCACCCCCCATTCCCACCTCCTCCAGGGCAAAGCCTCCGCCTGTCAGCTTTTTATTAACCAATGAAAGTAATACATATTCATAGTATAGAAAAGTATTATTCCATAGCATTTCCCCCCTTTTGTCTAACCAAAAAGGAAGGTTTTAGTCTTAATATAGTAAAACCATATACAACAAAGCAGTTATTAAGTAAGAATTACAATGGCAATATCTAATCCATTTGCATTTGAGAAAATTAGAGAAAATACTATTTATCTTATCTTGGTGAGTCTAAAGTTTTGTATCTAATTTACTTTCTATTATAACTAAGGAAAACTGTAATTATAACTATTTAGTCTTCATGTACATCAAAGACCCCAGAAGGGTGAAATGTTACCTATGACAGGGACAAATGCAAATGGACTAGACATTGTTAATATAATTATTGCGTGTATATATTTGTATATAGTTATTGTTTTGTATATAGTTTTACTATGTTAGCTAAAACCTTTACTTTTTATTTAGACAAAATGGGGGAAATGTTCTGTGATATTTTGATTGTGTTCTGAAAAATAAAGTTTACTTGGAGTCAAAGGGTGGAGCTAGCCACTAGCTGACCATAGAGGTTTGGAGGACTGTAGACAGAGAGGAGACAGGAAGTGGTAAGGCGGGGCTGAGAGAGGATCTTGGCCTTTTGGATGGAGGAATGGAAGAGGTAGGAAGCAACTGGTGGCAGCTCCCGGTTCTCTGATCTTTCAGGTTCTTACCCCAATATTTGACTCCCAATTTTTTATTGATAAAGATTAATTAGATTAATGCTTCAATAACCTAGGATGTAAAATGCTCCTGCTCTACCTCTAGAGTGCTGAGATTAGGGGCTTGTACTACCACGCTTGGTTTTTACGAGGTGCTGGATCTCTGTGACTGCTTTGTGACTGCTAGGCCTACTAGTAGATCCATCCTCAGCCTCAGAATTTGGCTGCTTTAATCATCTCAAGAGCACTAGTTAAAAAGCTTAAATATTCTTAAATTTATTCTACATTAATTGTGCAAAATTTGGTACTTAGTGGTTAAGAACATGTACTGTTCTTGCTGAGGATTTGCGTTTGATTCCTGTGTCAGATGGCAGACCTGTAATCCTAGCTCCAGGAATTCTGATGCTTCTGGACTTTGAGGACACCTACATTCAAGTGCACATGTACACGCATACACATACATACACATAATAAAAAACAATCTTTAAAAAGATACAAAAGTTAATTAACTTGCTTCAGTTTGCTTTATTACAAGTGTGTCATAGGATATAATTACATCTTGTGTTATACATACTGTCCTTTTCCACAACATATTGGAGATAACATAAGAATACACGTAGCATAGACATCTATGTAGGAATACTAACGTCTAGAATCTAAACTCCCAAATCACTTTTTCTTTAAGTTCCCTAAAAACTCCTGGAGGTGAGGCATATGGTGTCTGTGTTCAGACAGGCAGATGTGACCAGATAATGAGATCACACCTTCAGGCAGCATTGAGTCATCAGGTAGTGGACATTGGGTGCTGCTGTGGGAGCCTTGGAGAAGACAGTGATGGCAGTGCACAGTAAATTGTTAATATACACGAAGTAAGATCAGAGGATTTAAGAAAAGCATCTACTTTGTGTTTGTAATGTCAAATGCCATATCAAATCATTGTGATTTTTTTTTACTTCTGTTTCCTTATTCTTGCTGTATCCCATTACATCATGAGGCTGGTTGTTAGAGGAATGGAATTTGCTAGCAATTGTCTTAACTGTCCCTATTTTTTCCTTTTACATTTTTTTTTTTTTTTTTAAATTTCTTTGAGACAGGGTTTTTCTGTGTAGCTCTGGCTGTCTTGGAACTCACGCTGTAGCCCAGGCTGGCCTCAAGATCCATCTGCCTCTGCCTCCAGAATCCTGGGATTAAAGGTGTGTGCTACCATGGCCAGACTCTAAAGTTTGGTACTTTAATGACATTAGTATGTTGGTAATTGCTAATATGTCTCTATTTTCACGTGTAGTAAGTAGTATATGTTATATACTAAAATGGGGGAAACTAAGTATTAAAGTAAGTACCAAAAATGAGGCCGGAGGAATAGTGTGTTGTAGGTGTAATATTCTGTCCTGCTTGTTAGCTCCCAAATAGCCACACAGAGACTTATTAATTATAAATGCTTGGCCGATAGCTTATGCTTGTTACTAACAAGCTCTTACAACTTAAATTAACACATTTATTAATTTACATGCTGCCACGTCGCTCATGGGTTGCTACCTCATCTTGTATATGTCCTGCTTCCTCTGTGCCTGGCTGGTGACTCTGCCCTTCTTTTTCTGGAACAGCGTTCTCTCAGTCTGGCTCTCCCGTTTAGCCTCTTCCTCCCTAGTTTTCGGCCACTTAGCTCTTTATTAAAGCAGTGGAGCAACACATCCTCACAGTGTACAAAAGGATTATTCCACAGCAGTGTATTCTATAATATGTTTGGGATGTTCTGAGTTTAATTTCTAGCAGTATTACTTTTTTCAACTCCTACCTTGTCAAAAAAGGGAAGGCAGTGGAGAAGAACTACCCTCCCCCACCTGCCCCTTTTAGGGTCTTTTCATGTGGTTTGAGAAGGAAAGGATATGCCACACTCCTTAGTTACCAGCCATTTCCCTTTCATAGCATAGTTCACTTGTAGAACCCATGTTTTAAACAGCTAGCTAGTTTTGGGCTATGCTTGTAGATTGGATTAGATTTGAAATGATAATTGAAAGGGCAGGGTGTTATAAGTAGTGTTTTATAACTGACTGGAGTTTTTCTTTGTCTTTTTTGCCTCCTCCATTTAGATTTCATAGGCTCACGTTAAGAAAAGCACCATGGAGTTTTATGAGTCAACATATTTTGTTGTCCTTATCCCTTCAGTAGTGATTACCGTCATTTTCCTTTTCTTCTGGCTTTTCATGAAAGAAACATTATATGATGAAGTTCTTGCAAAACAAAAAAGAGAACAAAAGCTGATTTCTACAAAAACAGATAAAAAGAAGGCAGAAAAGAAAAAGAACAAAAAGAAAGAAGTCCAGAATGGGGCCATTCATGAATCTGATTCTGAGAATCTACCTCGGGACTTTAAATTATCTGATGCTTCGGCCATGGAGGAGGAACAGTTTGTACCTGCTCCATTGAATGTGTTTGAAACTTCCAGCAGTGTTAAGGAAAGAAAGAAGAAGGAAAAGAAACAAAAGCCTTCACCTGAAGAGCAGACCATCAAAGAAAGTGATACATCAAAGATTCCAGGCAAAAAAGTGGAGCCCGTCCTAGTTACAAAGCAGCCGGCCCCACCTCCTGAAGCAGCTGCCTTGAAGAAGAAAGCAGGGCAGAAGAAGTCTAAAAATGGCAGCGGTACATAATCTTTTAACTCATTGCATGATTCTATGTAGTAATCTGAAACAATTGTTCACCTCACTGTTTGCTCTGGTTAACAGGAATTGCCGATAGAAATTAGCAATGGTTAAAGAAACACTTTAAACTCATCCATAACTATGTAAAAGACTCATTGGAAATTTAACCTGGTTTTGGTTGCTTAAGGGCTTGCAGTTACTGATAGTGACATTTCAGTGAACACACTGTAATCAGTGTATTGGAGTTGAAAAGGGGAAATGTTCCTCCCTTTTGATTCAGTTTTCAAACAGTCACATATCTGGAGGCCCTGGGCCTCGGGGGATGAGTCATTTGCCAGCTGTAGACACTGGAATAACAGGTCATGATGGTAGAAAAGATCAGATGACCCAGGTCTCAGGGCTGTTAAGGTGGGTTCCTTGGAACGTGCAGTGCCAGGCATTAATTTTAAAGCTTGAGAAAGTGCTGGCTAGTTGTGATTGTGTATGTAAATATATATGTGTGTGTATATCTCGTGTACACACACACACATACACACATGCATGCACGTATGTACATATAATAAACATTGGATTGAAAATACTTGAAAAAGGATTGTCTGTGAAAATATGTGAAAGAGAGTCCGTTTTCAATATGGGCAGTCATTTAAAATTGCCATTATTTCCTAGACAATATGGTACAACAACTGTTTACATAACATCCACTTTTTATAACCTATTATAAATAATCTAGAGATGTTTAAAGTATACAGGAGAAGTACATGGGTTGTATTGAATACAGTGTCATTTGCTGTAAGGGAGTTGAGCATTCTCAGGCTTTGATATTGGTGGTGCTTTCTAGAATCTGTTTCCCCCATGGGTGTCAGAGAAGGAGTGTACAGTGGAAAGTCCCTGAGAAATGGCAACTGATGTGTACAGCTTCAGAGTGTCGGCAGTATATGAAGAGACTGAAATTCTTTGTGTATCCTTATTTATATTGTTAGCGGTTATGTTGAACTTCAAGGTCTTTCTTGCAGCTATGACCACATATGGTACTAGAGAAATAATAGTAAGCATGGCATACCTTAGGAAGGAGAATGTGTAAGCCAGTGACAAAGGTGATTTATGTAAAAATATAGAAGAGATAATAGAGAAGAAATATAGAAACCAAAGCAACAATAATTAATGGAATTTAATTTAAGGGTTTCCAGAGGAGGCATTGCCTAAGCTGTCTTTAGGGCTAAGTCACTTTACCAAGTCAATAGTGGGTTTCACCCTACACTGACAGAAAGCTACTTGTCAGGGCACAGGAGAGATACATGAGTATAGAGTATTGGTAAGAGTATAGTGACCAGTTTAATCCCAGCACTCATGAGGCAGAGGCAGGTGGATCCCTGAGTTTGAGGCCAGCCTGGGCTACAGAGCAAATTCCAGGACAGCCAGGGCTACACAGAAACCCTGCTTGGGGTGGTGGGAATAGTGAACAAACCTGAAAAGGTCATAGTACCTAGGTCATGATGGTTTTTGTAAACACCCCAGGAAGTGGGGCTTATATTAGTTACTGTTAGAGCTTTCAGTCAGGTTAATATAGTTTGTTCTTCCTTCCTTCCTTCCTTCCTTCCTTCCTTCCTTCCTTCCTTCCTTCCTTATCTGTCTATCTATCTATCTATCTATCTATCTATCTATCTATCTATCTATCTAATCAATTTATTGAGTACATTGTAGGGGAACAGTGAATTGAGCAATGTTGGATTGCATTTGATTTACATATATGTAAATATATATTTTAATACATATTTTAAGGATTTATCTTTATTTTATGTGTATATGTATATGAGTATTTGCCTACAAGTATATTTGTGTACCAGTTACATTCCTGGTGCCTTAAGTGTGTCATATTTTCTGGAACTAGAGTTTTACAGGTGATTGTGAGGTACCATGTAGGTCCTGAGTACTGAACCCAGGTCCTCTGCAAGAGTAGAAAGTACTCATAACTGCTGAGCCATCTCTCCAGTCCCTGATTAGATCTATATTTTAGAGAGTTCTTGGACAGAATTTATGAGAACAGATTCCATGACATTTTCACATAGGCATAAAGATGGTTCACCAGCACTGCAGAGTTAGGTCATGGGGTCAGGCTGTGGTGCTGCCAAAGGAGGGAGGGAGAGGAGTGCACACGTTAGGAACCCCAACCTCAGACTGGAGTGTGGTGGTAAGGAAGTGAGGTCAGAGCTGGTGGGGATTCTAAGTTAGGATGGGTTTGGAGACTTCAGTCAGTGAGTAAGTCATCTTGACTTTCGCTGCCAAGAACAGATTTTACGTTTTTAATGATTGTGGAAAAGAGTCGAAGAAGAGTAATACTTGGAGAAATGTAGAAATTATCAGTTAGGCTTCCGTGTCCATCATTAGTTTTGAGCACAGTCACTTGTGTACATTTGTGACCAGTCTTCACAGTGGTCGATAGTGGACTTGGATGGTTGTGGTGGAGCATGTGGTGGCCTGCAAGGCTGAATGAAGCATTTATTCTCTGGCCTTCAGAATAAAGACACATTTCCAGTCTGTGATTGTTTGTCAGCACTAAGGTCAGGAATTAAGTTGGAGAGACTGAATGCAAGAAGAGAAGAGAATGTTTCCAGTTTGTGTCTCAGGTGCCTGTGGGTGCCATTCACATAGATAGCCACTGAGGGTGCAGCCGAGTACATCCGTGTGAGGGCCAGGGTACAGTGTAGGCTTAGAAGCCGGAAGTGTGAAGGCAGTGGTTGAAGTCATGGCTATAGTCATTCACTGTGGCGAATACCAACGTGAGGTTTTCCTTAGAAGCAGTTCACAAAGGACACTCGAAAGGGATGTGAGAAGAGAGTTGGGGAGCTTAACTTTTTTAATTTTAGTAAAATTTGGGACTCAAATTTGAGTTAATTCTTTTTTTTTTTTTTTGGTTTTTTTGAGACAGGGTTTCTCTATGTTTAGCTTTGTGCCTTTCCTGGAACTCACTCTGTAGCCCAGGCTGGCCTGGAGCTCACGGAGATCCACCTGGCTCTGCCTCCCAAGTGCTGGGATTAAAAGTGTGGTCCACCACTGCCTGGCTGAGTTAATCCTTAATTGGAGTGGGAGAGATAAAAATTAGGCTGTAGTTAGTGGTCTATAGAAAAGAAAGCACAGGCTATTGTTTTATCCATGGGAATGGATGTGGAAGGTGGGAATTGGCAGCGGTAGGGAAGGTTTTTATCTATAAAATGATAGTTGGCCATACTGTGGCCTGAATGGTGCTGGGAATGTCTCTGAAAGGAGGGAAAAAGGGCCAAGTACATTAAAGGTTTGATATTGTAGTGTAAGAAAGCCAGAGGAAAAGGTGCTGGTAAGAGATTGAATATGAGACTAAGCTTTGTTGTGGTAAAGCATGCTGGGAGTTATTTGTTAATATTTTCTTGTTTTCTGATGTGTTCATTGTTTGCTATGATGATTTTTCTCCCACTTATATTTAATAAAGATGACCAAGATAAAAAGGTGGAAATGCTGATGGCACCTTTAAAAAAGCAAGACATGTCACTCCTCCATCAAGAGACTAAACAGGAAGGTGGCCTGGGAAAGAAGAAAGGTCTGTCAAAGAAGCAGAAGACAGAAAATGGTGAGACGGGGATGCACGCTTTCTGAATGCTGATTGTAGAAAGATGCGGGCGGAAGCTCTGGAGACCGTGTGTACCGTAACCACTGGAAGTCTAGTGCAAGTCTAAAATACTAAGAATGCTTGTGTTTAAATAGTCATTCTTGATTCTGAAAAATAATTAACAGTATGTACAAGCTATATAGAGTAAAAATGTTCCCCAAATGTTAGTACTTAAAATTTTTCCAAACATTTTATTTTTATTACACTTATTAACCTGTTAATTGGACACACTAATAATTTTTAAGAAGTTATTTACTTAGGTGTTTTGAGATTGTCTCATGCCCAGCCTGTTTTCTAACTCACCATGTAGTTGAGGATGACTTCGAACTTCTGATTTTCCTGCCTACAGCTCCCCAGTGCTAGGTTTACCTGGTTGGTCCAGATTGTGTGTGATGCTGAGGATTGAACCCAGGGCTATTGCATGCTAGATGTGCACTCTGCCAACTGAGCTGCATCCCCAACTCCACTAATGGGCTGTAATGTGACATGTTCTCTGTGAGATGTTCATATAGATGTGTCCTTTTGATCTTATCCATCCTCTTACCATCCTTCCTTCCTTAATGCCCCTTCTCCTTCCTCCACTCTCTCCTCTTCCTTCATAGTCATGCTTCTGTTTTCAAGTTAGTTTTTTTACAAATGAGAGAATACATGCAATATTCATGCTTTTTAATACCATTTGAAAATTATAATTCACATTTGTTAGACCTAGCAATACCCTGCATTTTTTTATTAAGTCCTACAAATTTGCATGTGTTTATGGTAGACATCCAGTTAGAAGTGGCAAAGCAATCCTATATTTCAGAATTTTCCAGAGAAAGCTTGACTGTAAGGTTTTTGGAGATTAAACAGCAATGTTTACAAATGGTGTTGGGCTGTTATATTACTTAGTGCTAGAAAACATTATTTGGAAAGAAATGGTACAATTTTATTTATGTTAATATTATGGTGTGTCAGACATAAGTTATCAGACAATATTACCTGGACATTTTTGATAACAGTTAAACTTCACCAACTTTAAGTAGGAGATAGGAATTATTAACACAAAAGTGCTTATGGGGAAGCAGTACAAGATCAAATGCAGGGCTTACGTATGCTAGGGAAGTGCATTGCCACTGAGCTGTAGCCCCATGACCTGGCAGTCTGATTGTAAAGGAATGTAGTAAGATTTTCATCGGGGTAATATAGATATTTGTTTTCTTTAAACAAGATACTGTTACTCAAATTCTTTGTAGAGTTTCTCACATTAAAATTGGAAGCAAAATCTTCAGGTTACCCTCCATTCCATTTTTTGCCTCCCCAAGACAGGGCCTTTCTCCCTATATATATAACATTGTCTTTCCTGGAACTCATTATGTAGACCAGCTGGCCTCAAACTCAAGAGATCACCTGTCTCTGCCTCCTGAGTGCTGGGATTAAAGGCATGCATGCACACCACATCTGGCCCTTCCTCCATTCTTGATGCTTATAGTAGGGTATGCCATAGAAATTAACTATTAAAATGAGAAGCTATCTGCAAGCAAAAATGACTGATTTTGTACCTAGCATAGAAAAGAGATCATTTCAAATGATCACTTATGGGTTGGCAAGCATGCAGAGAGCTATGGGTTTAATCCTCAGCACTGCTAAAACCAGGCATAGAGGTGCATACCACCTAGGGAATCATTAGAGTCATCCTGGGCTGTGTAGTGAGTTCAGTGCGACATAAGAGTAATTCATTACCATAAATAGAAATCAGCTTCTTAAGAGCACTAATGAGATGAAAAGGGTTATCTTCTGCTCAGATAGAGAAGTAGTTTGGTGTTGTAGCACACCTATAATTTCATCTCTTAGAAGGTTGAGGCATGGAGGATCCTGCATTCAGGGTTATCCTGGGCTACACAGTGAAATCTCATCTCAGAAACAGAAGACAACCTCGTAAAGATTAAATAAGAGTTAGCTAAAGGGTAGATGTAAGATGTTTTCTATTAGAGAAGATATACCCCATTTTAAGATGACTTGAGTGACTTAAGAATATTAAACTGATACTCTAGAAATCATGTTAAATGATGAAGTAGAAATTTGAAACTAAATTGAGCTAATAGAGATTTTAGAATCACTGCATTGGTAATTAAGTGTGCCTGTATATTGTTTAATTACTCTGTTGTAACAACTTAGTAATTATGATCTTGTTACTTAAATTGCAGTCGTGGTAGATGAGCCCCTTATTCATGCAACTACTTACATTCCTTTGATGGATAATGCTAACTCAAATCTTGTGATGGATAAGAGAGAAATTATTGATATGATTAAACCTGACCATGTAGAAGGGATCCATAAATCTGGAGCTAAAAAGCTGAAGATTGAAACTGACAAAGGTAGTATGCAAAACATTGTGATCTCTTACATTATAAAATTATGATTTTTGAGTCTTGGACTGGCGCACATTTTCTTACAGGATCAATGAATTGGAAAAGACTGACACCCTTGAAATAAAAGACTTCTGTCTAATTCAGACCTTCTTAACTTTTCAACACTTGACCATTTTTTGCTTGAGAAATTATTATGAAATCCTAGGTGTATAAAATGGTATGCCAACAAAACATTTACTGTTAATAAGTCAAAGAAATTTGTTTCAAAACAATTCTTTGGTATATATATATATATATATATATATATATATATATATATATATATATAAATTTACCATTTGTTAAAGTTGAAAGCAAATTTGCATTCTAAGGAGATGGATATGCTTATTTATTTTTACATAAAGAATTACATGTTGATTAAGTGTTTGGTATTGCAGGACATCTGTATCTTTCTGAATTGGTTGATATTTTGATTTTAAAATCCTCTATGCCAAGAATGTTGCCTTATATAAATATGCAGTACAAAATGACAGAAGTATGTTTAGGACCATTTCAGAAATTGTTGGAAATTCTGTCCAAATTCTAAGCCAAAATTCATTTAGCATTAGAAAACAAAAACAAAAACCTCAGTAACTGAAACAGCATTTAAAAAATCAAACATTCTAACAACACAATCTAGAGAATACACTGAGAATGACAGTTGGAAAACACAAGTTCATCATTTCTGTCATTAAACCATTGTTTCTAAAGAGCAGAGGAATTGGTGTGTACTGTAAAGACATTGCAGTTTATTTCAGGCACTCTGCTGTGCTCTGTCTGTCTGTTTGGCAATTGGGTACAAATCAGGGCCATTTAGGAAGAGGGATCCTCAGTTGAGATGATACCTCCTCCTCCATCAGATTGGCCTGTAGGCTGTAGGGCATTTTCTTGATGGATGTTGGCAGGCCTAGCTTTCTGTGGGCAGTGACACCCCAGGCAGTTGGTCCTAGGTTATTTAAGAAAGCAGGCTGAGCAAGCCATAGGGAACAAGACAGTAAGCAACCTTTGTGCTGACCTCCTGCCCTGACTTCCTTCAGTGATAGACTGTGATATGGAAGGTAGAAGTCAGAAGAGGGTATGTGATCTGGGACTGGAGTTAGAGATGGCTGTGAGCCTACATGTCGGTACTGGGAATTGATCCTGGGTCCTCTGGAAGAGTAGCCATTGCTCTTAACTACTGAGTCATCTCTCCAGCCCCTAAATAGATTGTTTTAGCTGGGCACGTTCCTGTACTTCCAATGCTCTGGAGAGTGAGAATGAGGATTCTAAGTTTAAGACCAACTGGGACTACATGAAGTGATACTGTCTCCATGTATATTTAGGAGCAGCTTTAACTTCATGTCAGAATAGAGAAGGAAACTCAGAGTTTCCATTTACCCCTTCATCCCACACATGCACACATGTGTTTTTAAACAAGCAGTGCTGCTGACATGTAAAATGCTTAGGCTGCCTGCTTCGGGCCTTGAGGGTAGTAGTTTCTTGAAGAAAGGGAATTTGTTGCTTAACAGGGAGTCCTAGGGGAATTAGAATAGGTGAATCTAGGAGGTGTTTCTGCATACAGTGTTTTAATATATATTTGTATATATTTGCTCTTTTTAGAAGCAGATTGCATTGTTATAATTATCCTAGACTTAAATTTCATCAGTGGAATCTGGTTTACAAAGTCAGGATTATTAAAGTTAAATGAGGATACTGTGGATATACCTGGTGCAGATGCTAACATACACTAAACATTGAAGTGGTTTTAAAAGTGAGGCAGGCCTAGTGGAATGCCTGAGTAGATAAAGGCATTTGCTGCCAAGCCTGGTGCCCTGAATTCAAGCCTTGGGCCTCAAACATGGCAGAAAGATAGACTCTGAGGCAGGTTATCCCCTGAATTGAACATGTATGCTCCCCTCCTAAATAAACAAACAAATATATAGATGAAATCAAAAGTGAGAGCATAGCATACTGGGACTTTAGTATCCTGCAGTCTGGGAAAACTTTCATCTGTCGTAACTTTTCTGCAGTACAGATGCTAACCACGTGCTTTCCCTCTTGACTCAAGTTATCTATTGTTACTTGACTTGAAAAGTCTATTTTCTTGTGGTTACTGACTTTCTTGGTCAGAATATTTTATGTTTACCTTTGCTCAAATTATTGCTTGGGTCTCTACTCCTAACTTTCTCCTCCTTTTGTTTTTTAATTAAGAAAATGCTGAAGTGAAGTTTAAAGATTTCCTTATGTCCTTGAAGACTATGATGTTTTCTGAAGATGAGGCTCTTTGTGTTGTAGACCTACTGAAGGAGAAGTCTGGTGTGATAAAAGATGCTTTAAAGAAGGTAAGCATAGTTTTTGATTATGGCACAGTTGTGAACAGTTATTAAGAGTTTTCCAAATGAGAGGTGCTTGTCCAAATATTAAATTATTATTATTATTGATATTTTTGTTTTTAATGCCATTATAGTCAGGAATACTTTAGAAATCATTTCATATATCTATGCTAATTTATGTACTTGTTTAGTCAAACATCCTTTGAGTCATCTGGTGCTTTGACAAAAGACAATTGTTTAAAATAGGCAAGGTTTTTATGGCTTTGAAGTCATTTGGCTCTTAACTAAGCTGATTCCTGCTTTGCTTTAACTAGTGCTCTTTTTTTTTTTTTTTTAAATAAAGATTTATTTATTATGTATACAGCATGTATGCCTGCAGGCCAGAAGAGGGCACCAAATCTCATTACAGATGGTTGTGAGCCACCATGTGGTTGCTGGGAATTGAACTCAGGACCTCTGGAAGAACAGTCAGTGCCCTTAACCTCTGAGCCATCTCTCCAGCCCCTTAACTAGTGCTCTTAACTAAGTTGGATCCTGCTTTGCTTTAACTAGAAGTCCAGATGAAGTCAATGTCAGGTGATTTCTAGATAAAAAACACAGATAATACTTTTGTGATCCAAGATTTCACATTAGAAAGACTCTAGGACCTTTTGTTCAGTGTTAGTAATGTGTTTTTTTCATTTACACATTTTTTTTTTTAAGGACTAAGATACAATAGGAAGACAGGCAACGGAGAGCTAATGTTGCTTGACACAAATGATTTTGATGCTTTCAAGGACATTATGGAAAATTAGTAATTTTCTAGTAATTAACTTGAAAATAATGGTTGAAAGGTGTGGTGTTTGCACATTGTAGTTGGAATTTTCATGGTTTGGGAGTCATTTCCAAATTACCACACAGAGACTTAGATTAATTTTAATGCTCGGCCAATAGCTCAGGCTTATTACTAACTAGCTTACATTCAAATTAACCCGTATTTCTTATCTAGGCTTTGCCATGTGGCTCATAGCTTGTTACCTCATTTTCTACACATTCTGCTTCCTCAGCAGCTGGCTGGCATCTCCAGATTTTGCCCTTCTTCATCCCATTGTTCTCAGTTTGGCTTTTCTACCTAGCTTTATCCTGTTCAGCTATTGGCCAGTCAGCTTGTTTATAAACCAATCATAACGACATATTCACATGGTATACAGAAGGATTATTCCACAGTACCACATTATAAATAGAAGTACTGCTGAATTTCCCACTAACCAAGCCCCCTAATGGCTACCAGTGTGGGGAACAGGTGAACCAGTAGATAAACACAGCTTGTTATTTAAAGAATGCTTCTGTTGTGAGAGTGCAATTTGATGGGACTCTGGCAAGCATTGAAATTCAGGCTGGCCACCCCCAGATCTGTTTATGTGGAAAATAATGACAAGTAATTAAATTCAAGGAAGGAGAGTGAAACTCAGGGCAAGTAATGTTTAATCTCACTAAACTATTGTTCAAGTCCAAAATTAACAAAGCAGAATCTTTTTAATTTTTTAAATTTTATTTTATGTGCATTAGTGTTTTGCCATGGGTTTTAGGTCCCCTTCAACTGAAGTAACAGACAGTTGTGAGCTGCTATGTGGGTGCTGGGAATTGAACTCAGGTTTCTGGAAGAGCAGTCAGTACTTTTAGCCATTGAGCCATCTCTCTAGCACCCCAAAGCAGAATCTTAATGTGACAAAATCTTGGCAGTAAAGTTTCCACAAAACCATCTTGGAGACTCATAGAAACACAGCTGTAGCTGAGAAGTTTGAAGAAGTATGGTGGGACAGCCAAGGCCTGGGCCACCTCCAAACCCCGGAGCCAAGACTGAAAGTGTGAGGCAGGTGGGAATTCTAAGGTACACGTGGCAAATAGAAATGCTGTCATTGACAGAGGTCGGGAGAGGAAGGGAAAAGAAGGGAAGTTCATTGTTCTGATGGATCCAGTGTGGAGTGGCCCTCTCCTAAGAGGGCTCCTTTCTTGACCAGTCTTTGGGTTGGGAGTGGATAATGGTGCATTTGTCCTCCTTGGCAGTGTAGGCAGTGAGCCCTTCTGTTGGGTCCTCCCATAGAGACCCCCAAATGCCTGCTTGCTGTGCTCTTAGTAAAGTTGGTTACTTAGAAAAGTACCATTTCTCTATTGTGTTCTCTAGCCCTCATATATCCTTTACAACTGTCTTCCAAGAAAGGTCTTGCCTGAAACTTTGCATTTGTTCCTCATGTAAAGTGGGACTTCGTGGTGGTGTTTTGGACTTTTTCTATTTGGGAATGATGCCCGTTGACATCAGAGAACTGGGCAGTGGTGGCATCTGGGCATGTTGTAACAGAGTTGTTGAGCACTGTGTTTTTTTTCACTGCTCTGTCTTGTCTTTCCTGTATTGTGCTTTGGAATTACACATGATTGCATATTGGTGAGAGGTCACAAACAAAGTTACTGTTTTTGACTTCTGGGCTTGTACGTGTTAGTCCTATACTTCTTTGTTGAAATATGTTTCTACTCCTCTAATTTCAGGATATGCCACACTGTTGGAGGGACTTACTTGGTTTTATTTGGCTGACTAATATTTAGCAGTCGTTTTGTTTTAGATGTTGTGCTCCCCATTGACCCAAGGGCTCCTGATGATAGATAGTTGACGCTCACAGTTTTCAGTGGATCGTGTTAACTTGCTCATTCTGTATTGACTTCCAATTACAGTCGAATAAAGGAGAATTGAGTGCCCTTTTGCATCAGCTTCAGGAAAAGGAAAGGCTGCTCTCTGCTGTGAAGGAGGAGGCCACTGCCACAAAGGAGCGCTGTAAGCAGTTGACGCAGGTGAAGACATTCTTGGGTTAAGGGTGTGTGTCCTGAGTCAGAAGCAGGGAGGCCTCAAGGGGCACCCGTGCTCCTTGATGTAATTCGTGTGTCAAAACTTACACACAACAAAAGTCCTCTCCTTGTAGGAGTTTGATATGGAAGACTTGCAGTCTTTCCGGATGTAACAGATGAAGATATTTATTAGACAGTCTAACCAGAATAGCAGAGCCACTGTGCTCAGAGCATCAGAGTTTGTTTGAAATGGATCTGATGTGTCTGTTCTTCATAGAAGTATAACATCCAATTATGTGATACGTGTGAAGCTTTTATATTACTTACATATGGAAAGTCTTGTGATAAATATTCATACTTTTAAAATCAACTTCTTTAAAACCTAAGATATTTTAGTCTGAGGGGTAAAATGTAAACCCAGACAAACGTTTTTAAAATGCTGTGTAGAATAAGAAAAGAGAATTGAAACTCCAGAGGGAATGTGGTCTCCGGAAACCTTCATCAGATGGAGTAGTATAGACAAGCTCGTGGGCCTTGTCTTCACCCACGGCAGCACTGTAAACCTTTGTATGCTTTTGACTGAAGAGAAGAGTCAGTGGCAGCACAGAATCCATCCGCCGGCTTCCTTAGAGTTAACTTTGATATAGCTTGATGTGACTGTCGTTTAATATGTTTTTTGAAGTTTAAAAATATAGATAAGTTACTTTTGGATGTTTTCGTTATGAGCCTAGCCTTTAATGGCTAATTATTTCTCCAGCCCACTAAGTTTTAATAACTCATCGTTCTGTATACTGGGTTTGTGTATACTTGGTAACTAAGTTAAATGGCTGCATAAAAACAATCTGACTTAGTTATCTTCAAATAAAACTTATTAATGCTTTTGAACACCATATTTTGTATGGAGTTAAATAAAGTGCAGTGCTTGTTTTCTGTTTTATTTTGGGACAGTTTTATTTAGCCCAGGCTGATCTAAAACGAGCTGTGTAGCTGAGGGTGACCTTGAACTCCTGATCCTCCTGCCTCCATCTCCAGGTGCTGGAATTATAGGTGTGTGCTTTAGTATTTTGTAAAATGTATTTAGTGTCATTCTTTTTGTTGTTTTTTGAGATAGGGTTTCTCTGTGTAACAGCTCTGGCTGTTCTATGACTTGATTTGTAGACCAGGCTGGCCTTGAACTCACAGATCTGCCTGCCTCTGCCTCCTGAGTGTTGAGATTAAAGGCGTGTGCCACCACCTGGCTTAGTGTAATTCTTTAAAAAGAAATTGTGAAGTGTATTGTATATCAATAAAACAACTTTCAAATATAAATCTAAAATATGAAGTAGAAATATATAAATAACCTTATAAATTACATAAAAACTTAAGTTTTGTCACAGTTTGTTAAAGCAGGAATGTGTTCATACCTTCAGATAACTAAAATTGATTTTGTTTTCTAACTTAGCTGTTTTCAGATTTCTTTTTTGCTATAAAAATGCCTGTCAAAAGAGAGGCCTCCCTTTGTCCCCCATTCTAACACCTTCCCCAATCTTTTCCCTGAACTCCAAGAAGAGTAAGAAACAATCACTGTTTTGCCTTAAAATATTGTTTCTTATGATCAATTGCATCAGAATATAGGATTTATTTCGGGCACACAGTCTTTGATGATTAAATAAGAAGTGCATTTAAAATAGAATCAAACTGGTGAATGTTTGTACTATGAAGGGAATTGTGAAGAGTGGGGAGATGTAGAAGTCCCTTGGTTTCTTGTTTTTTAATCCCTAGCTTTGCTTTGTACCCAAGCCCTGAGTGAACATTCACAATTGTGTTCCTGTTAAAACATTGGCTTGCTTTGATAGTGTTATAATACCTTTTTCATAACAAGTTTTTCATAAATTGATTTTCTGGTTACTCTTCTAGGAAATGATGACAGAGAAAGAAAGAAGCAGTGTAGTTATAGCAAGGATGAAAGATCGGATTGGGACACTAGAGAAGGAACATAATGTGTTTCAGAACAAGATGCATGTCAGCTACCAGGAGACGCAGCAGATGCAGATGAAGGTATGTTTGAAGTCTTGGAAAGGAAGATGAAATATGTCTATTCATTTAGTTAACAAACCTTTAAGTGCCTTGTTTGGGTTGGTCCATTGACCTATAGTGGCTAGTTAAACTCACTCCTCATCATTCCAAAGTAAATAAGTGTTCTGTGTTGGGATAAGGTAGAGGGCTGGAAGCTAATATGAAAATAACACCATGCCAGTAGAGGTAAGCATCGTGTGCTTTACAATAGACGATTAGGAAGGTGGGAAAGAGGATTGGTAGTAGATAGAAGAGTTGTTAGACACCGTATTCAGACTGTGTTGGACATTGTGAGTCAACATTGTCAAGGGAGATTGAAGGAATGGGCTAGGCTGTAAGAGTTACTTGGTGTAGTTCTTTATTCCCATCTCTGTAGATAGTGGGCCACTGGCTGTATTGTGGGAATCCAGAACTTTGTGAAAAATACAATAAATGTTTTAAGAGTTGAGAGCCAAGGTTGGAATGAAGAAAAGATATAGAAATAAGTATGGGCCCATTTAAAAGGTCTATGCCTGAAGATTGGACAGCCAGTGACTGAATTTAGGGGAGCTAGCAGTGTGATTCATAGTTATTTTCAGTGGTCATTCTGGCAGCAGTGTGGAAAGTGAAATGGGGGCAGTTGGAAAAGTTTGCAGGAATCAAGTCAGAGCGGCCAGAGAGAAACCAGGTGCTGGCAATGAGAAGATGAGCTGGTCTGATCCAGAGAGCTGGATGGCCTTGGCATTACATTGGAGGAGAGGGATGGTAAGGGGTGATGATTCCCAGAGGGCTAGTGAAAGAGACTGCTGTGTCCTGGTGTTTGTACACTTTTCACCAGTCTCCAGAGATCTGGTTCTTCGGATGTTTTCCATGTATCATTCATTATCAAGATTTCAGTTAAGTCTGACCAGTGAATCCTTACTCCTCTCCTCACTTCTTTCTCCTAGCTCTTGCAGAACAAGACTTGGATTTGTTTGTTAGTTCAGGTTTTAATATTATCCATAATGGAACTCTTCCAAATTATTCCTTTCATTTGCTGGCTGATGCTTTAGTTCTAAAAGAATGTATAGACCCGAGATTTAACATAACTAATATCAGATTCTTACTGATCAAGTTGTTTTTATTTTCCAATAGTTTAAGACATTTTCCTTACAGTGAATCCCTTGACTTTTTGTCTTTAATGCTCAGTTTACAAATTGGTCTGAATCTTACAGATACTTGATAAAGAGTTGAGGCAGGTGAATGTAAGAACAGCTTTTACAAGGGAAGAGTCTGAGCTTGGTTGAGGCTATCCATATATCTCTCTCCTAAGAGTGCACCTAGCAACTTTGGAATCCCTACCTGCAGTGAAGTGCGTGGTTGTCCCACTTTATCTTAAACAGTGGAGTAGATTTCTCCTTCTCTAACAACCTTGTTGTGGTTAGTTTCTAGTAAACATATTTTGGGACATATCCAGGTACAGGAAGCAGTAGCTCCATCTAGGATGACCTAGTTTTGGATGCATGAGTGGTAAGAGAAACTCTGTCCTCAGAGTAAATAGGAGAAAATCTCTGTTTAACCTACCTTCTTATAGCCTTGTATAGTTGGGTATGCATATATTAAAATCAGATATGTCACAGGAAGGGACAGCTATGGTGAGCAAAGGTTTACATAATTCAAGCCTGTCAATCAGAACAGAACTGCCCATATTTATTTGCCTTTAGCAATCAATTCCTTCTCCTGGTACCCATAAACAATGGCCCAGACAATAGCCAGGGATATTTGAGTGCCCTAGCTGAAGAAGCCACTGCGTACTTCCAGCACATCTGACCTGTGATTTAGTGTTACTTCCGTATGGTTTCCTGGTCCGTTTGAAATATGTGTGCACTTTGTCAGGTTTTTGAATAAGATGGCAAGAACCTGGAAACATCTAGTTCAGACAGTAACCCTAGTAATAGGGTATTCTTGTGTTCAGTGCTTAGCTTAGAATGTGTGTGTGTGTGTGTGTGTGTGTGTGTGTGTGTGTGTATGTGTGCGCGCACAATTATAGCCCTTTACCAGTATGTTTTTCTTTGTATTCTAACCTGTAATTGGTTCCAGTTTTAAAATTATTCTTCACGGCTAACAAAGTTCAGTGTTTCCCACAGAAATATCAAATACCAATAACAGAAATGAATGGCATTGTTAAGTTGTTGCTGTCCATTGTTTCTAATGTTTGTTTTCTTAGTCATTAGTCATTTGAGACATTCTCTCTCATCAGGTTTTTAAATAATTTTTTTAATATTAAAAAATATTTTATTATTTTATGTGTATGAATGTTTGCCTGCATTTAATGTTTTTGTACCATATGCATGCCTAGTGCCCTCAGAGGTCAGAAGAGAGCATGAGATCCCCTGGCATTGCAGATGGTTGAGAACTGCCATGTGGGAGCTGGGGATCAACTTGGATCCTCTACAGGAGCAGCAAGTGCTCCTAACACTGAGCCGTCTCTCCAGCCCAGTGATCTTTTCTTGGTTACTATTTACAGCTTATGTGAAAGCCAGACAGCTGTTAGAGCAGCCTTTCCTATTGAAGGTGAAAGGTTAATGGAATTCCCTCACTCTGCTTCTGCTTGATGGCTGGTAGAGGTCAGGTTATATAAATCCACGTATGGAGTCTATAGGAATCTTTTGAAAACTAGAAATCAGTACTTTCACTTTTACTAGCTGAATTGTTAGTAAGAATTGTCAACAGGTGTTCATTTTAATGGAATAATTTATATAGTGAAGGAAGACATGTCCTTATATGACTGTAAGAATCAATGTTCTTTATTGTCTGATTTTATAATTCTGAAATTAAACAATTAGTTGTCAAAGGAATGTAAGAGTAGTGAGTGGTTGTAGGGGTTGAGGGTGAATAGGAGTTACTTAGGAGTCGTGTGTATGAATGGTAATGATGGTTATATAGCAGAATGGTAGTTTTAATATCATTGTTCTTTGTACACATGAAAATGGTGGAGTTAGCAATGTGGCTCAGTGGGTAAAGGAACTTTCGGCTAAGCCTGATGATGTGAGTTCAGTCCCGGGGACTAAAGTGGTAGAGAGAATTAATGCCCTAATGTGTCCTCTGAACACAGACACATACACACTCACACACAACATACATATGCACACACCAAATAGTGGAATTAAAGAAGAAAATGGCTAAGATAGTACATTTTATGTCATTTACTATATGTTATTTAGAACAGTAAAAAAAAAAACCTCAGTCTTGAATGTTTTTCAAATAGATTTTGTGATGTCTATTAGTTATGCTTAATTTATAACTTTATAAATGTGTTTATGCATTTTTATGTTTAAACTTTGACTAAAACCTTTTTTTTTGTTTTTTGTTTTGTTTTAAAGATGGGGGGGTGGTCCTCCATTTGTTGTCCTGGGTGGTCTGGAACTTGCTGTGTAGACCAGGCCGGCTTTAAAACTCACAGAAATCTACCTGTTTCTGCCCCCCCATGTGCTGGAATTAAAGATGTGTGCCAGCTCATCCAATTTACACCTTTAAAAATATTGTTAAAGTAATGTTGACCTTTTCTGGGTTCAGGACAGGACTACTTCTGTGTTGGGTATGAGAAGTCCCAAACCATACCTTGGTTCTGAAACCTGACGCGTGCTTGTTTCTTATCTGAGATGTGAGAGTAGCTTCGATCTGATTGGGTTTTGAGCTGGGCAGCTTGTAGTGACTTTCCATTCATCGCCGAGCAGCTCTTTCTTTAGGTGTCTTCATATTGACGGAAAAGTATGGTTTGGGTTTTCTTTTTGCTGATCTTTGTTTACTGAATCTTATATATTTTAAAAATAGTTTCAGCAAGTTCGGGAACAAATGGAAGCAGAGATAGCTCATTTGAAGCAGGAAAATGGTATACTGAGAGATGCTGTCAGCAACACTACAAACCAGCTGGAAAGCAAGTATGTCTCCAGATTCTTCATTCTCAACTAAATGGCAGACTGTTTTCTTCCGTCATCAAAAGGGTGCTTGATAGTAACTTGTTAGACTTTCGCTTCCTCCTTTTGCTTCTGATCTTGTTCTCAGGACAGCTGTTTTCTTTGCGTGAAGATCCCTGGCTCTTTAGCTCTAGTAGTTTGCAGACTAAAGCCCTTGGGCAGCGCTGTTGCTGGTGGAGTAGCACACACGTACTGAAGCCGGCTGTCTGTCTCCAGGCCAGCACTTCTATTTCAGTATTCTCAATAGCACCTGTCATGCTAATTTAAAGCATAGTCTTGGTCCTCCTACCTCTATACAGATTGTGATCCAAGGGCCCAAAAGTGGAGCCTAGGTGGTTCGTGGGCCATTTGAGAAACCATACCTTAGAGAGGCTAGTAGTCTTGCATAAAGTAAGCACTTTAACTGGTTATTTTTTTCTTTCAATAATGAAGTAAAAACTTATTCATTAGAATTAAAAATACTCTTTTCCTCTGGCTAATAGGGCAGATCCTGTTACAGTGATATTGGTATTAGGAAGGTGTTGGTTTTTTTAAAGATTTAATTTAGTTTATGTGTTTGCCTCTGTGTGCCACATGTATGCCTGGTGCCTATAGGAGACCAGAAAAGGGTGTTGGATTCCTAGAACTAGAATTAAGGATGGTTCTGAGCCATATGTGGGTGATGGGAACTGAACCTGGGCCTTCTTCAGAAGCAACAAGTGCTCTTGACCACTGGGCTTTCTCTCTAACCTCCGTACTAGGAGGCTTTTAGATCAGTTTAATGGCAACTTTGTATGCTCCTGAGTTTTTTGGTTATCCTTTTTAAAAATATTTTATAGTGATTTTCAAATTTAAAATTATTTTATTATTACTGAGTATATGCCACAGTGTGTGTTTCCTGTCCTGTGTTCCATGGATTGTATCTAGAGGATACACAGCAGCTTTGGGGAGTCAGTCCTCTCCTGCCACCATGGAATCCGGGGATGCTCTTACCTTCTTAGCTCTCCATTCAGCCCTATAGTGTGCTTTTTAGAGTTTACCGTCATGATCTGAAGTATTTAGGGTACACTGTCATACTTAGGGGAACAGTATTACTGCCTAGTCATGTTCCTTTCCGTTTGCCTGTGAGTGGTGTTACTAGCTCAGCACAACGAACCCAGAACACGCTGTGCTTGTGAGTTTTTATGTGTGTAACAGTGCAAAGCCCAACCTGGTCTCTGTTTCCAGGCAGACTGCAGAGCTAACTAAACTGCGCCAGGACTGTGGGAGGCTGGTGAGTGAGCTGAACGAGAAGACAGGGAAGCTGCAGCAGGAGGGAGTCCAGAAGAAGAACGCTGAGCAAGCAGCTGCACAGTTGAAGGTGACCCCACCCTCCTCTTTGTGTCATTTGTCAGTGTTATTGATGTCCAGCTTCATGACCTAAACGTGTGTGTACGGTTGAGGAATGGAGTGGGAAGTTTAATAAGACCCACACTGTAAGGGTTCTGCCTTTTTTGTTGTTGTTGTTGTTTTTTTGAGACAGGGTTTCTCTGTGTAGCTTTGCGCCTTTCCTGGAACTCACTCTGTAGCCCAGGCTGGGCTCGAACTCACAGAGATCCGCCTGGCTCTGCCTCCCGAGTGCTGGGATTAAAGGCATGCGTCACCACCACCTGGCTGGTTTCTGCCTTTTTAAAGTTATATTTTGATGAAAGAATTGAATGTAGGCCTGGATTTGACAATAAAGACTGAAGATATCAAACCAAGTAGTTGACAAGTAAGGATGGAATTTTGTTTATATATGGTGGTTAGAATCCACACATGTAAGGCAAAAATTATTTTAGAAAAGGACCTTTAGCATTACTTTTATCATTTATAACTTAAATTCCTCAAGTCCAATAGAAACCCTTCCGGCATTGGAATAGGTTTTTTTTCTTTCTTCTTTTGAATATAACACCAAAGTACTCCAGTGGCTTGCACTTGAGCCCATTGTGTAGAAAAATCTTACTGTTTTCAGATTCTGGAATGATAGCTTGTGTGGTGAGGCGCTTATGTGTTCAGGGGATGTGGAGGGTTGCTCTGGCTGCCTGAAGGAGGAGCACAGTTATTACTCTCTCAGATTACATGAACTCTGGAACTTAGGTGTTCTGAGGAGTGATAGGTACCTGTCCCTCCTTTTACTGAGAAATCTCACTGTAAGATCCTCATCCATATTGATATACAGTATACCTTGAGGCTATTTCCAGACAGTTTTACAGTTGCCGTTAGATAATGTATAACTTGATCTTTTTTTCCCCAAGTTTTGATGAATCCTTTGTGAAAGTGATGTCAACGTCTCTCCTTTAATACTGGATTCTCTGGGAGATTAACTGCTGACATGGATGTGGAAATGTGTTCTCTATAGATATGAATAACTAATAAGTGACATAATTAATAATCTTAGTGTTTTGCAGTATGTATATTTCAAAATGCGAATTTTAAGTACTTGCTGAGATTTAGCAGTAAAGGTACTGTCTTGTCACTCCAAAGCTTAAGGACTTAAGAATGGTTGGTGAACAGTAGGTCATAGCTGGTGGATGAAGTGAGGATGCCGCAGCAGCTGGCTGTCTTGATCCAAGATTGCTCGTGATTGAGTTTCTGCGCTGGTGGAGGAGAAGGGTGGATGTGCCTGACAGATGGCTCTCTCCCTTTGTTTACAATTGAAATCTTGTCCGTTGGTCTTTTTTTGTTGTTTTTACTTGTTTTCTTTCTCTCCTTAAATATCAAGGTTCAACTACAGGAAGCGGAGAGGAGGTGGGAGGAAGTTCAGAGCTACATCAGGAAGAGAACAGCAGAGCACGAGGCTGCGCAGCAAGGTAAAGGCAGAGGTGCTGTGCAGGCCGGGCGACTGCAGCCTCTGTCTGCAGAGGAAGATGATCGGCACTTAGTAGAGCCAAATAAAATCAGGTTTTGTCTGTTTGGATTGTCGTCGTTCTCCAGTATTCGCTAGGAGTTTGAAGATACTGGGCCTTGATAGCCTTCTGTGGTGCTGTCAACTGCAGGAGAATCACCTGCCAGGCAGAAGAGCGTGGTTGTGACATTGTCTTCTTCTGTGCTCTGCCTGCATTTCGGCTTGTCGGTATTCTTAGTCTTGTGATGGAACAAGTTGCTTACTTGAATCTGTCTATCTTTTTTTTTTTTTGGTTTTTCGAGACAGGGTTTCTCTGCGTAGCTTTGCGCCTTTCCTGGAACTCACTTGGTAGCCCAGGCTGGCCTCGAACTCACAGAGATCCGCCTGGCTCTGCCTCCCGAGTGCTGGGATTAAAGGCGTGCGCCACCACCGCCCGGCCAAATCTGTCTATCTTAATAAATGTTAGCTTTGTCTGCTCATTTATCCATAATTTGATGCATTGCTGTGCGCTGTTTTTATCCCTACTGCCCCCTTTTGTCTTTGTCAGGGTGTCTGTTGTTTGGATAAGTACTATGACCAAAGTCAACTTGGGGAGGAAATGGTTTATTTAGTCTTAGGGTTTGTAGTCTGTCATGTGGGGCAGTCAGGGTAGGAACTCACCGCAGGAACTGATGCAGAGGCCATGGAAGAGTGCTGCTTACTTTCTTTTCATGGCTTGCTCAGCCTGACTTCTTTTTCTTCTTTGTTTTTGGTTTTTCAAGACAGGGTTTTTCTGTGTAGGCCTGGCTATCCTGGAACTTGCTCTGTAGACCAGGCTGGCCTGCCTCTGCCTCCTGAGTGCTGGGATTAAAGGTGTGTGCCACCACCATCTGGTCTTAGTCTACCTTTTTATAGCACCCAGAACCACTAGCCTAATGGGGCCACCACCCTGGGCTCTCCCACATCAGTTGTCAGTTAAGTAAATGCCCCATGGGTTCGTCCACAGGCCGGTCTTCTGGAGACAGTTGCTTAATTAAGACTGCTTCTTCCTCGATGATCCCACCTTTGTCAGAATGGCATGAAAACTAGCGAGCACATCTTCTTACTCAAGTGTGGCTCTGCATAGGCTAGACAAGAGTTCGGACTTGTCAGCGCTCTGTTTTCCTCTAATTATCTCTTTGCTCAACACCAAAATGTACACAAGCTACTTTAAGACTTCTGCTTTTATATAAAGTTGGTATTTCTGTGAAGATAGTTATTGAATCAGTGAAACACAGGAGTCTTGAGAGGAAGGACTGTCGGGATAACCAGGTAGCTATAGAGAGTAAAATGGCACTCTTTTTATTAAACATTTGCTTAGGTTTATTTATTTTATTTTACCTATATGAGTGTATGTGTATCTATATGTATGTGTATGTGTATCGTGTGCATGTATGCCTGGTGCCCAAAGAGGTCAGAAGAAGGCATGGGATCCCCTGGAACTGGAGTTAAATGGTTGTGGGCTGCCATGTATGTGCTAGGAACCAAAGCTGGGTCCTCTGGACGAGCCGCAGTGCTCTTCACTCCTGAGCTATCCATCACCTGTGACTGTGCTCTTCTACCGCCTGCCTTTGGTGACTTACCTCGTATTTCTGTTTAACTATCGTGCTTGGATCCTGACATTACAGCTTCAGTATTTTACTCTGTATTTCTAAGCAAATACAATACTGGTACTTAGTGTTTCTTTTTTTAAAAATAAACTTTATTATAAAAAAAACCTTGTAAATCAAACCCAATTTTATAATCTCAATGAGTTGTTCACTCAGAGTAGGTATTCCAGAGCTGAGGGGCTTCACATTAAAGTTTACATTTTCACTATCAAATATACCTGTATTTATTCACCACCAAAAATAGAAAATCCAGAGCAAAGTTTAACTAGAGGAGCAACTGATTTTATATCCCTTTTCATAACTTGTGTCTGTCACCTGTGTCCAGTCCTTCCTTGTGCCCTCATAATTAACATTTCTTCTTTTTCTTATGTTATAGTGTCTCCACATGTACATTTGTTTACATATATGCGTCTATTATTGTCTGGAGTCCACATAAAAGAATAAATGCAGGGTTTATTTCTTTCTGAAATTTTGTGACCTCACTAAATCTATTTTGTCCAAATTTTGTGATTACATTTTTCTTTAGAGCTGGGCAGTATTCTATATGCATGCACACACGCACGCAGACAGGCACTTGTGTGTACCACATTTTCATTATCTGTTCATCTGTTGATGGACATCTGGGTTGATTTTGGTTCTTTGCTGTTGTTAGTAAAGCAGCCATAAAGAAGTGCTTCCCCTGGGTAGAAACTGATTTCCTGTTACAGAAAGGAGAGTCAACCCCCCCCCCCCAGGGTTTCTCTATGTAGTTTTGGTGCCTGTCCTGGATCTCGCTCTGTAGACCAGGCTGGCCTCGAACTCACAGAGATCCACCTGGCTCTGCCTCCCGAGTGCTGGGATTAAAGGCCTGTGCCACCACTGCCTGGCCAGAAAGTAAAGTCTTAATCTCATTCCTTCCACTTGTATCTCATTGTCCTGAATTGTTGATGTATTTTCATTACATCAATTCATTTTTTTGTCAGCATGACTATAATGGAATGGTAATCCAGGATATATGTTAAAACTGATTTGTTCCTTTGCTCTATTTATTTCCTGAAGGTTATTGTTACTTTATTTTGCCCTTGCTTGATGCATTTTATTTTAAAATTTTTGCCTAATGTTAAACGTTTCTTAATTCACCTCCCCTCAACATCTTAGGTGCGAGAGGCAGGGGGTTGTGTTAGATTTTCCTCATGGTCCCTCCCGGAGGTCACTGTTGATGCTCTGGTGCATGTGACTTTCTAGGTTCCTCCACAGTTGCCTTCCTAAGATTCGCTTCCTCTCTACCATTCTGTTTGGAGTCTCTGTCACTGCCACGGTCCCCTTCCTTGGTTGACTAAAGCTTGGTTTTCACTAGCTGTATATGAGTATTCCTAGAAGTGTATTTGTGGAGGCCTTAAGTAATCTGCTCACATCTTTACCGTTGTAGATTGGTTTGACTGGAGGTTGAGTTGTAAGTCATCAATAATTTCTTCTACAGAATTTTGACATCATAAACTTAATGCTTTAACTTTTGGTAGTAAATATTATGCTTCTTGAATTTTAATCCCAGACATGTCCATTATACATTTAATTTTTAGGATTTCTTTCTGAGTTGTATTGTTTTATAGATGTGAAAATTTATCTTTCTTAATGGAGACAGGTGCTCAAGCATAGCTTGTTTCTGTCTGTGGTAATGGGTTCACTCTGACCTATGTATGGACTTGTTCATGGTATGGGACAGGGCGATGGTTCTCATGCTGCCTGATATCTCCTGTCATTAATCATTTTGATTTAGGGTGTTCCCCTTCCTCTTTTCTGCCAAGTTAGTGGTTGTCTTTAAATTCATTTTGTCTTCATTTATTGTGATTTTTGAGTTAAGATGGTTTATACTTTTTCTGATATATCTTCTTCGGGTGTTATCTGTAGGAAAGAAGAAAGACAAACAGAAAAGTTACCCTTCATTTCAAATTAATTAAATGGCATTTTAAATGTCAGCTTTTACATAATAGATTTTCTTGGCATCTTTCTTTGTAGCAGAGTTCAAGGAATTTACATGAAATTTGCTAACATAATTATTAATGTATCTTTGGGGAAATAAAGAGTCCTTTCAGGAAATGGTAGAACCATTTAAAAGTTTTGTATCCCATTTAGTTAATGTTCTTTGAGTATTGTGCCAAGACAATCTCTGACCCAGAAGAATTCACTCTTAGGCCAGCAGGAATTAGAGAGGGTATTATAGGGAAGGATGATGCGGAGGCTGCAGAAGGGCAGAGACATCGTGGAAGGGTTCTTGAGAAGACGCATACACTCAGGGTGGAAGGGGGAAAGATGAGGCATTTGATAAGATGGAGTGTTTTTGTTTGCTACAGACTTACAAAGTAAATTTGTGGCCAAAGAAAATGAAGTCCAGAGTCTGCATAGTAAGCTCACAGACACATTGGTATCGAAACAGCAGTTGGAGCAAAGACTGATGCAGTTAATGGAGTCAGAGCAGAAGAGGGCGAGCAAAGAAGAGTCTTTGCAAATTCAAGTTCAGGTATTATTGTTCTCTCTTTAAAAATAAGGGGTTGTATTTATGTGTTTATATGTGTAACACTAATAATTAAAGAAAGATCATGAATTTGAGAGAGTGGGAGAGGAGCCATTGGGGATATTGGGGAGGGTGGTATAATTATATTTTAATTTAAAAATTGCAAAAAAATTAAAAACTATGTCTATGTAAATATATTATGTTCAAATAAATTTCCATTTCAATTCTAAATCATTAAGAAAAAGGAATTGAGATAAGTGTGGTATGTATGTCTTAATTCTTAATAGTGGTAAATAATTAACATTTAATCTTTGAGAACTTGTTAAAAGATGAATTAACTACTTCCTTAGGACTTCTTATAGTAGGATCAGGGACAGTAAAACAGCCTAAATGTCTGCCTTATAAATTAACTCAAAATAAAATGCTTAACTACTTTAAATAAAGACAATTTAAAGATAAACCAAGAACATGTAAATCATTGAGTTCATGTACATGTGGATATACATTAATAACACATTTGTCCCCTCTCTTTTGTTTTATGTTGATGAAAAGGATATTTTGGAACAAAATGAGGCTTTGAAAGCTCAGATTCAACAATTCCATTCCCAGATAGCTGCCCAGGTAATGGTGCATTTTTAATTGTTTACCATTAATCGTAGCTTTCTAGCTGTTTGAACAATTATCTGAATGCCTGTGTATTACCAGACTTCAGTAGTTGGGAGACTAGTCAGTGAATTAGTATGTAGTGGCCCCAAGTTTCAAACACTAAATATTATGTGTAATACTTGGGAAGTACCAAGAACCCAAATCTGTATAATTAGAAGAGTTAGGTGAGAGCACTCACCTCTGGGAAAAATGCTCCAAGCTCTGTCACAAAACAAAAGGATAGCCAAGCAGATCTTAGGATAGGGACTGATGTATTGATTGGTACACTGTCACAGAATAATGACTTACCCTTAGGAATCTCTCACATGCATAGAGGTAGCTGTGTCAACCACAGCTTCCAAGGTGTTATTTGCAGAGGACTCAATTTGAAATGTGTGTTTCAGTTTAGTTAATGATAAACATTGCAGAATTTTAAAAACCGGTATGGTAAGACTTGATGTTTGATACCATTGCCCTGCACTTTGATTGATTGATAGATTGGCTTTGGAATATATATGATTAAATGTTCAGAAAAAAGAGAAAGTTTCCACAAATATTCATAGTACAAATTTCAATTTCAGTTCAACTTTCCAATTATAAAAATTATTTGTAGCAACAAGTACTAGAAATTTGACTCTTGGGTTGGAGAGGTGGCTCAGTAGTAAAGTGTGCCTGCTCCTGTTCCAGAGAACCAGAGTTCAATTCCCAGTATCTGTACCAGGCAATTCAGGGATCTAATGCCTCCTCCATCATCTGCACTTGTGTGCCTATGCCCCCAACAACACTTACACATATTCAAAATAAAAATAAATGTTTAAAAAGGAAAATTGATTTATGTAAAAAGTGATTTTAACATTGTAAGTATACTTTAGAGTTCAAACTCCCAAAGCTTGGTGCACATAAATGTTTTTTCCTAATTGCTTTCTTGTAGATGATACTTTAAAATTAATTGAGGGAGAACTACTTAATATAGCAGAATGGAGCTGTAGATTTGTGAGTTACCAACTCAGATTGGATTGATATCTTTATCATCAGCGGACAGACTTGGTCAGAAATGCCTTAGAGGGTGCTGAGAACACCTTTAATAGTGGAAAGGTGACACTTACGTTCTCCCTGTTGTCTTAATTGTGAAGAGGATCATTTCAGAAGATTGTGTTGAGGAAGAGATGGACCTGCCCCTTACATACTTGTATCTTGTCAGTTTTATAGTCCCCAGGCCTGCCCACTTGCTTAAGTCTTACTATTCTGTGACGTGATGTGTATGTAATTTCCTAATACTGGCTGTTGGTGATCAGATGTGCTTTCAGAATGATGGCAACTCACCATAGGCCAGATATGTCTTTAACAACTTGGTGTATGTTAATTTCTTGTTTTTTTTTTTAAAGCTCTGTTGTGATTATTATTGTACAGCTTTTAAGCTTTTTCTCAAATGCTCTTATGTTGATAATGTTTTTCTTTCTCAGACCTCCGCTTCAGTTCTAGCAGAAGAATTACATAAAGTGTAAGCCTGCCATTCTATACTTCTCTTACAATTGTGTTATAACCACTAACAGATACTCATTTGATACAATATACAATTAACTGCATACTCTGATCTGTTTGAAAAATTACTGTAAGCTCTATTTTGCTCCTTTCTTTTAGCCTGTTTCTGTTTAGTCCCCAAACATTACATGCTGTTTTTTGTTATTGTAAAAGAGCTGGGCAAGCTTTCCTTCATTTGGGAAATTGGTCATTATGTAGAAGAGGCAGTTCTGTTTTCAGAGTAGTGGAAGGAATTAGTGCTTGTATTTGCTTTGTACGTGTGGCTCTTCTGTGTCTAGCCCCGTGACAGTAGGCTGTACACTCAGTCCATTTGCGTTGTTTTGTGTTGGATAACTATACGATATGGGTTGTGTTTACAGATGTCCTATAATCTGGTTTTGATGTCAGACTTTTTTTTTTTTTAAAGATTTATTTATTTATTATGTATACAGAAGAGGTTTCCAGATCTCATTACAGATGGTTGTGAGCCACCATGTGGGTGCTGGGAATTGAACTCAGGACCTCTGGAAGAACAGTTGGTGCTCTTAACTTCTGAGCCATCTCTTCAGCCCCGATGTCAGACTTCTTAATGTAAACTAACTTCTTTGACTCAAGTTTTAAACAATGGATCTGTCTGTCTATCCATCTGTGTATCTATCTATGATTTGAGGTCTCATTCTGTAACCCAGGCTGGCCTTTAATTTGTGGTGATCCTCCTGCCTTAGCTTCTTGAGTACAGGTTTGAGCCACCATCTTGCCATAAATAGGGGATATTTTGGGCTGGAGAAATGCCTTAGTAGAAAAGGCTCTCATTGTCCAGCCTGATGACCCAAATTTTATCTCCTGGTCTCACATGCTAGAAGGAGGGAGCAGACTTTGCAAGTTGTTCTCTCTCTCTCTCTCTTACACACACACACACACACACACACACACACACACACACACAC